AAAAAAAAAAATCTAAGATATGAAAATTTTTAATAACCTATAATATGTCTTAGACAGATAAACCGTCTCCACTCAGAATCGCTTTTCGTATACAATTATATAATATCATTGGATTCAAATTGAATTCTATCCATTACAGTAACCCACTTGTAATCTACTGTACAGCAGAGCGTTAACCACTTTCCCGCTTTTTAAGCATTTGATGATCAAATTGCGATAAAATGATCTACCTATATTTAAACGAAAAACAATGATTTTATTATTTTGTTATAATTTAAAAAAATGTATGCAATGGAACTTGAAATTTTTAATTTAAGTATATTATTACACACAATGACGTTCTTAAAAGCAATGTTTTCGGCAAAGATTTTTTCAACCTACTGTACTTCTAATAGTAAAACAAATTACTTTAGTAAAAATATCAGTGTATTATACACTATATAGTATCATGTTATTGAATTCAAATTTAACATCTTACTTTATTATTATCATTGCTATATTTATATGATATTATAATTTCATTTAAAATAAAAACTGATTAAGTATAATATAATATGATTTAACTGTTTGTTAGTTATGGATATAATATGTGCATCAAAATGTTACTTATAATAACACAGAGAGCAACAATTATTAATTATTATGTTATTCGTTAAAAGATTATGATAAAACTTAACCAGACAGTTAATGTAATTTATAATAAACTTTAATTATATCTTATAATAAATTATTCAGAAAATATTTATAGCGCATTATATTTATAAATTATCAATATATATTAATGGACATTTTTGTTATTCACTTTTATAAAAGATCTGTGATTGCTATGGCAGCTCTACTGCAGTAGTTCAAGAATATAAAATATATTATATCAATACGCATGACATTGTCTAATAAATTGGTCTATTTTATTTTATTTTTAACGATATTTTTTTTTTGTTAAAGTCGAACATCTTTTTTTATTACAACACTCCGGACTAAGTGGACCTATACAATATATCATATATGCACCGATCAAAACAAACTCTAAGTTAATCGTATACATACGTCATAGAAATATAATACTGCAGTAATAACGCACTTATGTACCTATCTGTAATATACGCGAAGGCGATAACTAAAGGAAAACTGCGAGATTGAGCTCGAAAACAAATTAAATACTCAACATTTCAAATATTTATTGTCGGATTAATCACTGGAATATCAAAATACTTAACATGGATTACCCTCTGAATGCGTGTTTTTATGACGAGATATTCAAACTGTCGAATAACGTCGGACGTTGGTTAAAATGTGTCTAAACAATAAAATTATCACCTATAATAATTAACGATAATAATATTCAACATATTTTACGTCATTGTATGCTAGATTAKAAAATGCACGATTTATTTTAAAGCCTACGCAACCTTTACGTAATAAATAAAAAATTGTCAGTAGATATACCGTTATAGTTCTATGCACAGTGTTTATATACGACCTAGCATCGTAAAAAAATCGGTTAATACGACGTTTTACAACGAATTACAATCATTTATACAGACTGTGCAATACAACGCATTTTTATTAAACTCCATAATATTATGCTGTTATCCAATAGTTTATAGTAGACTGTAGCTGATTCTCTAAGCTAGAAGATCAAACGAGTTGACAACCTTCATATGTTTAGATACCTATACTTAATAAAAAATTAGTAAAAACTATATCGTTAAAACATGCCGTTACGTATAGTTAATTTTGATAATTTTAAAAGTATGAGTTTAATTGAAAAAAAACTTTAATTATCAAAATGTTTTTTTTTTTTTATTAGACAACTTTTAATATTAATCAATAACCAAGCAAATAGGCGTAGGTAAATATAATAATATTGAATACAGTACCTATTATAGCGGTGTTTAGCTAGTTATTCTAATTTAAGAGTCTTAAATGAAGACAGTAACTTTACAATTTACATTACCTAACCTGAACCATATTCGTGTGGAATGGTAAGAAATAATATTTTTTTTTGAAAGATCCGTAAATTCGAATTCTCCCACCAAAAATGTATTAAATTTAAAAACATTAATTTCTATGCAAAAATTCTATAGTGTTATTAGATAATAAAAAAATAACTAAATGTTTGTTTCATATATCGTTATCATTCGAAAACGAATACATAATACCTACTTAACGTTTAACTATAACACTGTAACATTTACACATTCAAATCATCTCCATATAATTGGTAATTAATATTATATGTTCAATGTACACTATACACGTGTATTATAATATAAATAACATGGGCCTCTGTTTGTCTCAGTGAGGCCCAGTAAGTTTTTGATATTAATTTAAATAAAAAAATGAATACTATGATTTATTACGCAGTTATATTTGTACCTAAGTATTTACTATTAACGATAGACAAAGTGCAAAATTAATATATTAACATATAGTCAAAACTATATAAATCATGTTTATATATGCGATTATGCGTGTATACAGACTGAAATATTATTTTATAATATAATTTATAAAACTATTATTATTTAACCTGTGATAATAAGGAATAGATAATGTTACTTTTATAAATTGAAAAAAATGTATTTTTTACTATTGCGAAGTTTTATACTCATATGAACTCAAATAAAAACTCTAATGGATTTTAAATAATCATATTACATACATTCGTATATATTATTTTCATTGGCTATATTTCTATTTATTGTTAATTATGATTTATGTTTAATGCTCATTGCGAAAGTACAATAATATATTCGTATATAATATGTTTATATTCGATTACTGTCAAATACTCACGTCTATCGATTCGTCCATTTTATTTTATTTTTACCGACATTTCTTCTTTAAGTCAAACATCTTTTTTTTTTAAGGCCATCATGTTTATTTGTTATACTGCAAAACAGAATAAACCTGAATTAAACTTTAAATCATTTTAGATGGGCAGCATTATTATTATTATTATTGTAATTAATTGCAGACTTGCATTTATTCATATTTCATTCTATAAAAAATTAAYAATACAGTGATACAACTGAGCTAATATCTATGAGCTTATATATGTACCTAGGTATAAAGTATGATCATAGATAGATTATAAAACCAATATTTATACGTTTTATTTATAAAAAAAATTAATTACACCTATATACAAAATTAAGAAATAATTAATAATTAATAATATTTGAGTTTACTCATCAAATCATAATTCAACAAGATTGTAAAAATATTAAGTACCTAGGTATATGTTTACACAATTCTTTACCTAAATAAATAAATAATTCGTCTAATAGGATATTGATTTACCTACACTAAACCACTTATTATAATTTATAAGCCTAAATATAATTATATATTTATATTATAAACAAATAAAATTAACAAAAATATTGTTGTTCATCAGTTGGTTATTCTGTACAGGTTTTCATTGTTAATTTTATAAATAATTTATTATTTGGTTGTATAATTGACGTATATAGCTCACAACATCTGTTTACCGTTTTCAACAAAACAATTTAAATCTATACTGGTGATATATACAGGGCGTTTAAAATAATAATCTATTAAGATTAATGATTATGATTCTACATAAGAATTTTTGTATTTCAAGTTCACGCAATCATGGTTATCTTACAAACAAATGGCCATAAATAAATAGAGTTTTAGTCAAACCCAAGCTAATTTTTAATTTCGATAAGTGGATCACTGCAGTTGAACAATTATTATTTTAACATCATGTTTATAATTCGTTCATACTGCTAATACCTATTTATGTTTTCCTTAACATTTAACATAGTAAAATGTTTCCATTATAATCACTATATAATATTTGATATGTGAATGAATAATATAGCTCGATAAAATGACCGATATGATAGTCTAAATTACATGCATGACTATACTCACAAATATATATATATATATATACAGGGTGTAAAAGTACTATTTGACAAATATAGTAATATTTGTAATGTAAATTTGTTAAATAATCCCGTTACACCTTATATATATTATATATGTATATACATATATGCATATAAAACATACCACTTCACACTCATCAAAACTTGTGGCTTTATAATAATATGATATCTGCCACACACATCCGGAATTTTATTACATAAAAATATATTATTAATTAATATTATAAACCAATTTAATATAAAAAATATGATATGAACACATCAAAAATGCTCACCATCATTTTATCCTATAACAATGCATTCGTTTAATTCTATCTATAGGTGCTTATCTACAAATATTTACAAATCCTTAAATTCAAAATKYTAAGGGTATTATATTGTGGTGATACAAACTTTCTTTTTAATGAGAACTTCCTTTTTTTACTGAAAATTATTAAGCAGACGACTTTGATGAATTTTAAATTGTAATTCAAATGAGTAGTTTTTTTTGTTATAATTGTATTGACTAAGAATAATATGTTTGTTATATTGAAAGGTATACAGTACCTATGCATATAACATATAACAATAAATATGATATTTAGTAAGACAATTTTTGTAAATTAAAAAATGCTAATAAATCATACCGTTGATAAAATTGTGTGATTAGAAATGTACTACAAAAAAKAACAGTTTTCATCACCGCAAWAAACTCTTTTGATGATTTAAAAATCTAAGTATTTGAAAATATGACATTTATCCTAGGTGTATTTAAATATTTTAAAAACAGAATTTTGAATAAATATATAATCAAAGGAGTGAACCTGCTTGATTTAAGTGCGAAGTACCTTGTATATAAACTATATAGATACATATAACCTAACCTATGTATAATATATAGTTATATTGCAGTACCTATATTGTATGTATACAACATAATATTAGGTATAGTGTATAATTTGCTATAATTTGTATATATATATATATATATTCACCGCGGACGTTTACTTTGTGCGACAAAACAGAGTATTATGATGAAGGACATACATATTACTTTAATTTTATCCATACACATGCACCGAGCATATAAAATGTATTTCATCGAAACTATTCGAATAATATGACGCACACGATGTTTTATTTTTGCAGCACAATTTATAACTCGCAAAATACTCTAGATTCGTGTTTCTTTTTTTATTTTGTAACTGGATAACCCTCTTTTATATGTGTGTGTGTTGTTCAAAAATGCCATTGCAAAAACGAATATTTTGTGAAATTTAAGAACTACTTGAATAGGAAAAATAAATGTATAAACACTCGATATATACTACGAATATAATGTACGATAGGTCGATACATATAATATACACGTGTATATGTGCAGGACATGGCTGATACCGTAAAATATAGTTTATGTAGGCRAAGATATAGTGAAAATTAACTGGGTGTACGCACACACACATACACACATACATATATACATATATGAGGTACGAGCACTCCAACTTATGTGTAAGAAAAATACGTTTTACGCCCACCTTGGGGATATCGTCGCACGTGTATATTATGATATAGGTACGCAGTATATAGGGCCATCGCTAAAGTAATATATACATGGCATACCAAAATTCGTCTTTGGAGACTTTAAATTAGACCATTGTGGTTTTTATATAAGTACCATTATAATATAAATGTACAAGGAATAATAGAAATAAATGGMAAATGTAATTAACTAACTCAACCATCATGATAACGTTCGTTCTTATAATCAGTTTAAATTATTTTTAAAATATGTATTTTTTTTATTTAATAAACTAATAATTAAGTCGAAAAAATTATCAGAATATACAATTTATTAAACAGTTTGTTAATCCCAATGACAATTATGTCTATTGCATCCTGTACATTGTATATATAAGTGCTTGTGTAGTTGTTTGCATTTGATTGTACCGTTAATTTATAGTCCTGAATGGAAAGACAAATAGAGCGAATGGTCTGACTCGCAAAGGTCGCGCGTATATGAGTAATTGCATCTTAATAACGTAATATGTTTACATACATAATACATAACTGTGTAGTGTGTACACACAGCACAGTATATATAATATAGAAAGGGTGTAAAGGGGGCACTTCATCCACCTCCGCAGTATTATTCTAAAAAGTATAAAATATGTGTTTCTCTACCTACGTTATAAAATTACGAATTTTACGTTTTGAGTCAGATATTATTTGGATGTATTTTAGTATTTCATATTTAGACGCATTAAAGAAATGTGTGTAAACAAAATTATTATTATCGAGTTCTTGCTAAGTTGCATATTATTAAGTATTATCTAATCATTGAAGAATCAGAAATTTTACACATGGCCAATTATCTGGTGATCCTGTCCTGATTACAGATTTCTAGACTCATTTTACAGATTTCTAGACTCATTTACAAGCACTACCTACAACATTATTTTGTAGTACATACTATTTTAGTTACATACTTACTACACTATACGAGTTGTTGCAGCATCGTCTAAATATTCTATCTACGGTTCAATACCGATCAAGTAAAAAAATAAGACATCATTTCCAAACAGAATTTTATTGYTTTAAGTTTTTAATATAAAACCATACAAGTTCCTAATTTTTTCTTATTAACCTACCTAGGTACCTAATTATAATTATGCTATTCCAGTATCAATATTGAATTTTTATTTTGAACTAAATATATTTTACTCTGTGTCTCTTTATAAATGATAAAATAAATACATAATATTGTTATTATATATAAATTTATATAAACATTTAAAGTTTAAAAAAATATATATATATATTATGACACCATATTTGTTGAGATTTTCTACAAAACAAATTATATATTCCTTATATTGTGGTTACACTCGTTATTTTGTACCCTGCCACGTAAAAAAGTACTACATCACTGTAAGTCCTCAACGCACTTCGTATTTTATACATATCTACTAATATACTATATACATAGATAGGTACCATATTATAAACTTAAAGACAGTATAACATCCGTRATGGATAATCACCGTCGCCACCCTTAAATTGAGCCTTAAAGAGTCTATGCGAAAAGTGTATGAATATAATAATAGTTTAAACTGTGATTTTGTGTATAATAATTTCGAAATTTAACAGAAAATCTATCGATCGGAATGAAGACATTGAAAATGCGTGTAGCAGCATACCATCAGGCAATGCAGAACGATAAAATCAAACAAACAATTCGGTTGTAATGGATCACTGCGGCTGCTGGTAGTGTTATATACAGAGATGAACAAAATATTTGTACAGTGTATATCCCAAAACTACATTATAACCCTAAATATATCTTAATATATAATATTATGGTATTTATAATAGATAATACAAATTTCACACGCAAATAACGCAGTCGTCAGCACTTAATTTAAAGATCCGCAACTTACATAAATGATATGAGTGCCTACACGATTCCATTAAAACATTGAATTGATCCAACATCAAGATTCTAAAACTTCTTTTTTTTTTATTTGAGTCGGTCACATATGTATATATAATGATACACTGTATCAGTAGTACTCAAAGACTTTGAATTCGCTTATTAATTTATAGTAAAAATGACATAAATATATACACTTTCCATTTGATCTGCACACGATTATTAGAGAAAAAAAAACGCTGTTTGATCTAAAACACGTGTTATTATATAATATGGTCTATGACATACTATGAACTCATTTCCATCGAGCTAACCTGTCACTTAAGACGTAAGTGAAATTATACAACCAAAACAGTCTATGAGTCGTTTGAGACGTTATAATAGCCAAATAATACATTATACCATGTGCGTATATACAACACACGTTTCAGAACGACCGACGTGGGACTTATGTACGTAATCATAAATATATTAATTTCAATGGCACCATATATCCATAATTAAGTTACATCGCTGCAGAAAATAAAATAAATACGAACGCGAAATACATAATATGAACCCGCACGCCAAATATCTACCGTGACTACTATATCCGTCGCAAAATACGAAAAATAAATCGCGACGAATGCCTTTCTCGCGGGTAAATGGCGTCGAAGTTTGCATAATATATAAAATATATACATAGATGTCGACGTTGCTACCGACTGGCTGCACAATTCAGTGAGCAGATAAAAATGAATGTACATTATACAAGATACACGTTATGTGTTTAGTGCTGGTTATAGTCAGTAGTCACCAATACAATGTTATACTCGCGTGGCAGAGCGAGCGGTATCGTAAACGGAATTTTTCGACCAGAACCCGACGTCGAGGATAGGCGTACCTCCATCGGAACGGCGCGCGGCGGTGATAACTGCGAGACTCTCGTCGTCTACTCGGTCGAGAGCCCGGGACTTCCGTAGCTGCTTCCATCGCCCTCGGCCCCCAACCCCCGCGAACAAATCATCACCGATGTGTGTCATAAGCCACGATCGACGATAGTATAATATGATAACACATAATGCGACCGGTTCACAGTTGCATAAATAAAGGATTTTTGGTAGGGTAGTGGGATGGAGGGGGAGCRCAAAGGACTGAGAATCTCAAGTCTTATGACGTATTGTTATTTATTTATTAAAACGTATTAATTTTTTCCAAATTTTTGTTTTGATATTTTTAACTTAATGTGTTTAAGTACCTACTTATTTTTTGATATCAAATGTATGGACACCTGCACACCTAATAATTATATTTAATATTTGAGTAAACTGTGATATATAACCGCTAATGATAAAAGACGAGAAAACTATAAGAATACATTTGTTCTAAAATACAAAAATACTATGTTATAAAAAATATATATATTATGTATAAAATTAAAATTAATAACAAATTTTTGTTTACTATGTAAATRTTTTGYTCCATTGAAAAATTAGTCACTTCTGCGGTGTAAGACATTTTATAAAAAATATGTATTTTAAACAACTAACTTGGTGAATTATAAATAATCTATTTAAAAAAAAAAAATTACTAGTATATTCTGAATTGCCTGCAAAAGTCTATCACCTATGCACGCTTATTGCATATGATGATTGAAACGTTTAAGTATCTAATAGTTTAATGAGTAATGAAATATTTGTTGCTTCTTGGTAATATGTTTGAGGGTTTAAAAAACCCATAAAGGTGATGTAGTTGTGGAATAGCCTATACCCATACAGCGGTTTTATTAGTTAYATTAATTAACTAGGGAATAAAAATCTTTTCTCGTCACTATAGAGTTTCTCTATTTCCTATTCAAGTCACGCACCGCTCATATTATGATATATATAATTTTTTTTTTTAATTGTATATTTCAATAAGATCTCTAGGTCACGCCATTCATATACATAATATACTGTATATCTCGAAGGATGATGATAAAAAGTTATGCTACTGTAAATTTCTCATCACTAATGACTGCTACAAAAGAAAAGTTAACATCAAATTGTGATATATGATATAGTAACCTAGAAATTATAAATAAAGGCAGCTTAAGATCACTGCAAGTCGTATACATAGTGCTGCAGCGTCACTAAACAACGAAATAGTCACGAGGAGGATGTCATCSCATACGGTCTATTTAYGGACTAATATACATAACGCTTCAACTCACATACATAATAAAATATCGTTTGAAGGTCACTATATTGTGCAATGAGCAATACGTACTTGCGACGTCGGCGGCAACGATGATGTCGTCCACGTCTATTCGTCGGGTCACGGCGGAAACGTTTACCTGCGCCCGGACTGGTCGCCGGCCATTGTTTACCATTTATACTTGTTACGCGTGCCTCGTATTATATACCGTGTTTGGCGCCGACACAAGAACTCGYGGCCGCAGGGGTGCCGGGGTGATCGTGGGTGGTTTGCTAAGTGTGTGGCGAAGAGGGGGCGCGCGCGCGCGTTTACTGCGTACGCTATCGGCGGCGAGATGCGCGCGCGCCCTCGCTCGCTCGCATTCGAGACCGAAGCGAGCACGCACGCCGCCAGACGCGCGCCCGCGGACTCTCCTCGCTGCAGTCCTGCCGAAAGTTTTCGAGGCCCCGCGTCGAAGACCGATATAATTATACGCTCTGTTTGCTGTATATTGTACCTATAAAAATGTGTCAAATGTATGTCGGCTTGCAGCGGCGAAACGAACGAGTGAGGAAACCGAACAGAGCACCGACAACTATTGCCGACGAACCACCGTTTGGTGCGAGAAAATATAATATTTTTATGAACTTATGAACGGTAGCGGCGGCGGCTGTTTAAAAACGATGCGACGTGAGCGTTGCCGTACGGCTCGCGGATCTGCGACGGTGGCGGCGTTCTGGCGCCGTGTGCGTGCGTGCGCGTGGCTCCGTCGGCGGGACTGCGAAAGTTTGCGGCGGTGGCGGCGTTGGCGGCGGCGGTGCCCGTGCCCGTGACGATGGTGCACGCGCGCCACTGCCCGCCGCCGGTCGCGCCACGAGCATCGACCCGCGCCGTACGCCGGCTCGAGAACGAAAATCGATCGGACGTGAACACCGCGTGCGCCCGCTCGCCAGCGGTCTCCCCGGGGCGACGGGCAGAGAAGCGTATACGCTGCTTTGGCGAGCAGATGGCGTTCGCAGCTTTGACCGAATGACCTCACGGTGGCCGCGGCGGCAGCGCGGGCACCTCGGCATCCGCCAACGCCGCAATTGCAGGCCCAGCATCGCTTCCGCACTTCCCCTTGCYACCGTATATACATTATAATACACTCGAATGCTGCAGCAGCGATCGCCCCCGCCACCCGTCCGCCGTCCGCCGCAGATGAGTCTCCTCAGATGTGGATCCGTGTATAATAATTTATGTATAAGTGTGTGTATGTGCGCGAAGACTGCACCCACCCCTGGGCGGAACCCCGTGGTTGAGTTGTATTTTTGTATTTGTATAGGTACCCCATGTTTGCGGGTTATGCGGTTCGCGGCACCCCGGTGGCGTCGTGATGTGGGTCGCATGCAAGTTTTTCGGCTTAACAGCTGATGCCGAAGCCGTCGCCGCCGATCGGCCGATGTCTATCCCAATACAATACAATTATTCAATTATTATTATGCGCGATTATAACTATTCCGAATCGTCTGCATTCCGGCAATCGCTCGGAATTCGATGCAGTCGATGCACCGCACACCATTGCACCGTGTCGGAACGTGCAGCATAGTTTTATAAGTTGTACTATGCAGTTCGCAGCGTACCCCGTCGGCGGTCCACCCGCAAACCGACAACGCTATAGAAAGCTGTCTATATTCATCCCATACATTTCGGTTATTGTTTCACCACAATATCAACAACAGTAGTTGTACCTATACTAGACTAGGCACTATAGGTAGTATTGATGATGATTTMACTCAAAGTATTTATATGTATATGTGGAATAGTCGAAATAGCTAAGTTAATACTGTCCACACTAAGTAGGTATGCGAGTTTTTATGTGATTAGGTACCGATAACATTTGTTTTTGATTCTGAGC